CTCGCCAGTGGATCCCGCCAAGTATCCCGCCAGAGCAGCTGGCCGGCGCATCCCGCCCAGTATCCCGCCAGAGCTGCTCGCCAGCGGGTCCCGCCAAGTATCCCGCCAGTATCCCACCAGAGCAGCCTGCCAGTGGATCCTGCCCAGTATCCTAGCTCGCCAGTGGATCCCGCCGATCCCTCCAGAGTAGCTCGCAAGTGGATCCCGCCGAGTACCCCACCAGAGCAGCCAACAAGTGGATCCCACCGAGTATCCCGCTGAGTATCCCAGAGTAGCTCGCCAGTGGATCCCGCCGAGTATCTCGCTGAGTATCCCTTGCCGGTGGATCCTGCCGAGTATCGAGCCGGAGCGGCTCGCCAGTATTCGCCAGTGGATCCCGCCGAGTATCTCGCTGAGTATCCCTTGCCGGTGGATCCTGCCGAGTATCGAGCCGGAGCGGCTCGCCAGTATTCGCCAGTGGATCCCGCCGAGTATCCCGCCAGAGCAGCTTGCCAGTCTGGTTTTGCTTCATATCCCGCCCGGCGCGCAGTTGGGTTTAGTTTACATTTCATGTTGGTGCCTTCGTATTTTGAGTGTACCCTGAGGCTCGGAAAGGGTGATGCTTTTGTGTTGCTTTGGGTTGTGAATAAGAAACTTCGTTTAATCCCCCGTCGGGTTTCTTTTTGGAAGGGGCTTGGCTTTTGTTGGAGTTCTCGAGATCGGCTCGCAGACAAGTGGAGTTTGACACACAGACAGGTGGATAAGGCCCCAAGCCACTCGAAAACCATGCTTGAATTCACACAACCGTGTTCACAGTCGTAAGCTCGTGAGTGTGGAGGGTGGGGATTGCTCGAAGCGAAGGAATTGTTGTTTTTGTTGATTTTGTTGGTTGGTTGCTTGGTTGCTTGGTTGCTTGGTTGCTTGGTTGCTTGGTTGCTTGGTTGCTTGGTTGCTTGGTTCCTTGGTTGCTTGGTTGCTTGGTTGCTTGGTTGCTATGTTGCTTGCTCGGATGGTTGCTTCCTTGCTATGTTGCTTGCTTGCCTGCCTGCCTGCCTGCCTGCCTGCCTGCCTGCCTGCCTGCCTGCCTGCCTGCCTGCCTGCTTGCTTGCTTGCTTGCTTGACTCGGGCGATGCCAGTCCAACACAGAGAGAATGCAACAAGCAGAATTGTCCTCCGTCATTGCATGATCACGTGTCTCTCAAAAGCTACCTCTTCTCGGTTCCAGGTCTCTGCTTGTGGAGAAGAACACTTCAATTGCGACCGTGCAAGTGTCTGAAAAGAAACGCCTCAGATCGTGCTCCGCAACCCGCAACTTCCGGCTCGATCTGCTGCGGTGTGCAGGTTTCAACAAGCTCAGCTGAAACCCGCACGAACCCGAACGAGTCAATTGCATCACCTGAAAATCCGCATGGTCGCACAAGAGCAGGGTGAAGAGGCTGTAGCCAAGGGCTTGCTCGGAGAGCCGCGCAAGCCTGGGGTCAGCCACGCTGGTTCGATGTGATAAGGAGCAGGCACGCTTAAAAGGGATGAGTTTTTTGGGAATTCGTGTTGGGGTTGTTGCATACCATCGTGTCTATTTGGAGACAAACCCACGTAGTCGCCCAGTCAGCTACCAAACTCGACTGTTTGGTCCAAAAACAACCACCTTCAGTGACCCGACGTCCCTCCCAAGTGGGCTGTAGACTGCAGATGTGATGACCAAACCATCCCTTAACCATCCGGCCGGACCTGCGCACTGTGTCGCGCAAGAAGAAGGCAGACCTGAGCTACAACATGCAGACAACCTCCCCTCGGTAAACCTCCGCCTCCAAACCCTTGTGGATCCAGCCAAGTTTCTTGCGCAACATGCTGAAGGGCATGCCCAAGACCGCACATCAAATGCCAACAGCGCCCAGTTCCCTTGCATAAACTACTGGGGGAGAGATCAGCAGACAGGGCAAGCGTCGCCACCATGTGAGCCACGGTCAGTTGACGGTCAACATTCGGCTGTGGGTCACAACCAATGGTACCATTTTGGGGTAGGTGCACCACCCATGTTAGTCTATTTTAGTGGGGATTGGGATGTTGACTAAGGGTACGGGATTTTGACCCATGGCCACTTATATATTGTATTCTCAAGAGACACGGGTGTTTGGTGAGTAACCCCCATTTCATACTGGCAATTTGGTGAGTGTAGTCGTTGCCACTCGCTTTACAGATCCAACCGCGGGTTGGTCCGGGCGGTTTTCCACTTCGGGGACCAAGGAACTTGCAGCTCTCAGCTCACGTCCTCAGGCGCCAGCGTCTCATCGATTTCTGGCTCCATAGCCGCACATCGAGACTCACTTCTACGGGGTCCAAGATCTTTGCAGGACCAAACCAGAGGAGCACCGGTCCCCTGTTGGATTTGATGCGTGCAAGTCAACCCATAGCTAAGACATACCCTTGCATTCCGCCAATGCCCGAAAGGGTCGGCGTCAGCTTCTTGCGAAGAGGTCCGCAGGATTGGTATCTGATTGCTTTCAGGGTTCTCAGCGGTTGAGTTGACCCTAAGCTCGGCAAACACCTGGTCGGTAGAGAGCCCAAGATGACGTTGGGGACAAAACTGCCCTCTCGGACCTGCTACACATCTTCAACAAAACACAGGAATAGCATGCAAGACGAGTATGGTAAGGCTTGACACAGGAAGAGAGGAAGAGGTGCCAGGGAGCAAAATCAGCCCAGGTGGTATCCTCAGCCCCGGAAGCCTCTGGAACCCTCTCTTGGAGCTGCCCAAAGCTTTCAGCTGTTGGGGAACGAATGTTCTGGTACTTGGGGCCGTGTTGACTCTTGTCCGCGCTTCCATGACTGGCCCTAGGACAGCTCGAGCCGAAGGCAGAGCAAAGATCAGGTAGGCCTGGTTTTTGGATCGAAGGATCCGACAAGCCTTTCGATCACTGAGGTGTTGCCTGCCAGGAATTTCACCTATCCCCAAGACTCGAGCTTCAACTAAAAAGCATGGCAAGGGTGCTAGTCCCAACCCACTGTCTAACCAGCTAAAAGGCCAAAGCCATGCACATGAAATCTGCTGCTCATTGCATTGAATCCAGTTCTTCTTTCCCGACCCATGAGTTGCTTGCAAGCAAAAGGCTCTTCCTATCTAACCGCTATCTCTGGCCCATCGCTTCAGCTTCAGGGAATGGGAATCCGGGAGTCTCATCATCCACAGTGCGTCTGTGCCCAGGAGCCGAAAGATAGAGATCTATGTGGTCAATACTCAGTGTGCGCCGAACTGGCGGTCCCCGCCATTGTTCTTCCTGGTGAGTAAACCCCATGTCCCGATGCGAATTTGGCATCGTCCACCATACAATAAAGGGTGATATTATTCACTGTAGGTCATGTTGCGAGATATCCACCGCAAGGTCGGATGCGCACTGTCGAGACTCAGACATGAGCGATTGGCTTATCCGATATTGGCTTAGGTACATTCCGTGAGCGTGTTTGTGCGTGTCCAAATAAGAGGACCCCAGAAATGGGTGGTTTCCTTTCGGTGTCCCTTGAAGCAAAAGGATCCCAAAAAAAACAACACTCCCACACGAGCCTTTGCTACAATCATATTTTCAACCATGATGCTGAGAAGGCACACTCAAAAAGCACTCGTATGAAACTAAGCATTGTTTCATCTTCGCTCCCACGGCGTCTTCTGCTTCTCGTATCAGAGATCCTTTTTTTGCCCGTGTTCTGTGCAGTCGCTGATTCCAAGTGCGCCGGAGAAGTTCGGCGCAGCTTGTGTTCAATGGGGACCAAGAGGCCCCATTTGACCAAGACGCCCCATTTGAGACACGAGATATTGACACCAGAGGACACCCTGAGATTCAAGAAGTGCAGAGTCAAGGGAGACATAGGACAAGAACCGCAAAACTGCGGGCACCGCCCCTGTCAGCCTGTTTGCCATGCTGGCAGGGGAAAGGAAGAAACGAACCCATCCTTGGGCCTTTGCCAAGCAACCTATAGCTCACCGCAATGCCAAGTCTTGGACGCAGTCCCTCTGACACGCGGTGCGCGACCGAGACAAGCACCCTTTGAGTGAGGCAAAGGTGAATCCTGCAGGTGCAGTCAAAACAGAAACCTTATGCATGATGCTCGGCTACCTCAAGAACTGGGGAGAGTCCCCGAATCTTTCAAGGTCCGGTTCAGGTGACCTGATTTGCCTGCACTGCAGCTGACGTCAGGCGTCACACAGCGCCTCGTGGAAAAGCGGTGAAGGCATTCATGCGCTCAGAGCGGGTGAAACCGGTCTGCAAAGTTGCCGAGCTCCGAGCATCTGTCGCTTGAACCCCCTCTGATGACGAGCTTCGGAAGGGAACGGCATACATAGCGAAACAACAAAAATAGGGTGAGCCCAACAAAAAATCAACTCTGCCAAACATGGCTTGGGCACATGTCATCCTGATCTATGCAGGCTGCAACAATCACATTAAAAAAAAAAAAAATGTAGAAACGATGCTGTCAGGACATTGGCTCTGACTTTCCCGACTTACCCAAGATGCTAGTACAGCATGTGAACATGGTGTGCGCGTCTTAGTGAAGGAGGCAACACTCCCGGCGGGGACATCAAAAAGAAACCAACATACCAAGGTGCATGCTGGATTGTCTGACACTCGTGGCTGCTCTGCTCCTCTTCTTGGAAAAAACACGTTGAGCTGCTCTTAGAAGCCAGCACTCAATCCGTGCAACAATATCCCCACAAAACAAGACAGTGAAAACCTCAGTGGTTAGAACGCAAAGGTCCTGTCAAGGCGCCTTGTTGATTTCGGTGCCGCCTTGGTCGTGCTTGCGGCTTACGGCAGCTTCGCAGTTGCGTACGTGGCCGCGACATCGGCGAGCCGCGACGCGCCATTGGAGCGTGGCATATGAGGAAAGTGGGTGCCCAGTGACCCACATCGCCTGGAAAATCGATGCGTGTCTTTAGGATTTGGCCCAACATGGGTCTCGGTTTCCCTTTAACACACACCCAAAAAGGGGCACCAAAACAAGACACACACATTCCAATGCTCAACAGTGCGTATGTTGCCTCTCTACAAGGCCAGGGCCCTTGCCTCCCCCTTGCCCCAGATTTCGTGCGTACAAAGATATTATTGCCCTCGGAACCGGGGCGGTACGTGAGAGACTCTCACGCCCGCGGATCCTGCGGCCTGCGGCCTCCGCAAGTGAAGCACTGCACCAATGGCTTGGGTATGTCAGAAAGGCCTTTCCAGTGGCTCGGGCAAAGTCCCCAAATCAATCGAGTCAATCAATTTCCCCAAAACTGACGGATGCCCTGAAGGATGACACCCTGAAAGAAAGCCCGACGCAAGGACACCGTTTGGAGTGCCTTCAATTAAAAACAGACATGCCCCGGCGTTGACTGGCGGCTGGGAGCGTGCTCCGCGGTTCAGGGTACCGCGTCACTCGAACGGCCGCTTTCGTGTTCAGGTTGGTTCGTCCGAGTCGCTATAATTTCACCACATATTTGCTGGTGTTTGATGGCAGTTTGGATGGCTTCTCAAAGTAGAAGGCGGGTCAAGTCAGCAAGTTGATCAGGCATATGGTCGCAATGTTTTTGAGAAACAACTGAGCCACATGTCTCACGTCTCGTCACAGACCTGCAAATCGAGAGACTTCTCCGTGGTTCTGACCAATCAACATCAAAGCCACAGGGGGGGCCTGTTCTCCACTACAATCCAAGTAGAGTCGAACCACAGCCAAAAGATTCAACGCGAAGAGTTTGCCAAAGAGTCCTCAACCTCCCGCGAAGCACAGCTTCGCGAGGATAGCCATGGATCAAGTTCTTTCGAACCCCCAAATTCCACGCAGGCGTCATTTTGATTCCCAAAAAGGCCAAGAAAAGCTTCATGGAACCGAAAGGCTTCGTGTTCGTAAGCTCTTCCGGGACTTCAGGGGCCCACATTTTGTAGCTTCGAATTTGCTTTTAGGGAACCCTGGAATCGCTGGTTAAGCTTAGCTTCCGCTCGCCTCGCGGCTGCACCAGGTTTTTGGCACTGGCCTGAGGAAGCAAACTGGCGATGGTCAAGTTCATCTGTTCAGTGTCTTTCGGATATATGCCACCGACCAGAATGTTCAAAGGGCAACAAATGGCATCAAGAAGCACACCGACCCAAGCAGGACGATGGCAAAAAGAGAAATGGACTGGATTCATTGGTCAACTAAGCCGGTACAACGCATCAAGACTTGACCAAGGGCGCAAAACACTCCGTGCACATTGAACGATGCATACACCTCAGCTCAGCCTTCCATCCAATCCATGTGGCTGTAGGTACAGGCACCTCCGAATTGCTGGACCTCGCTTAGGAACTTCATCAACGTTGCCGTGGTTGTTTTCTCACCAGGCAACACGTGCAAATGTTGACATCAACCCCAGTTGATTAATAGGGGGGTGAGGGCCCCCAAAAGTGGTCTGATTCCCCACATTTCACCCAGGTTGACACCCCCTATTGTCATCCATTGGGGTTGATTGATATAGGGTTAGCAAATTAACATAGCATCACCATGCGATTCTAGGATGTGCCCCATAGCTTGTTATGATGGAAGAAAAAGCCGAGAAGGACCTCTTGTTCTGAAACATATGCGGGTTGATCAAAAGGTCCGAAAAACATGGGATGACCATTGACAAAAACACTCAAACGATATACCTTTCGCACTAAATGGGAGAAGTTACCCATGGATATTTGGGAGCCAGGAATATTGATATGTGCAAAACACTGTATAAGTGTGTGTGTGTGTGTGCCAGTGTGCGAGTGGGGGGATTTTCCGCGGGATTTCAAGGGCCAAACGCATGAGATGGTCGATTGACTCTTCGAAGTGTAACCCTTGGATCCCCCCGTCATGAAAAGCCACGGCAAGTTACAAATGCGGAATGGCCAACTAGTGATGTCGCTGACATCTCGGCCAAGTGGACACCGGGTGAAGCTGCTAGCTCAACCAGAAAAAGCAGCAACCCCAGAAAACGATCCCATGTTGCCGAGTCATCAATTTTCTGCCCCTGACTGCTGTTGACAGGCACCATGAAAATGCGGTGGTCCAAACCCTGCAAGTGCAGAACAAAAGCCGCATGGAGCTCCCTGCAGCCCAGTGACCGGTCATGCGCGTTCAGGCAGAAACTCCGGGCATATCCTTCCTGGCGACCAGAAATAGCTCGTACCGCTCATGCAGGGCCAACACTGTAACACCATCCCTCACTTGCTCACGAGGGTGGGGAGCGTCTTCAAAGCACCAGATGTAAGCATGAATATGCGAACGTTTAGTATGGTGGTGCCTCAGTGTCTATGATTGCCATAAGTACAAAAAAAGCGGGCTCACCCTGATTGGTACCCATCAATGGAGCCCCATCCTGCCAGCATGGACCCTCCGTTCTGCAACTGGAGCTGTGGCATAAAACTGGCCTACCCAAACCAATGCAAAGAACTACAAAGGCGGCCGCACCTTAGTCTGGTTACCCAGGTTTTGATTGTACTCACCTGAGGATAGCTGCAAATGGGGGAGCCCAGCCAAGTTTCCTGAAATCAAACAAGTGGAGATTGTGGAAAGGGACCACCGGCTCCCATGAATCCTGTCGTGTTCGGAAACATCCACTCTGAGTTCCGGAATGAAGCAACCCCACATCCAAGTCTCGCCCTCGGCACCAGGCCTTCGGTGCTTTCGACGTGCCAGTAGCGGGGGTCCTCCGAGCCATAAGCGAAGGGCAGGACCTGATTCGCGGCATCACGCGCTTCAGTATGAAGCAGATGTGTCCCGCGTTCCTCAACTAAATGCCCTGCTGCATCTGATGCAAAGACGATGAAATAGATACCGGTAGAAGCAAGCATATAATAAGTATAGGTTTGAGATAAATCAATAGGAAAATAGATCAATAGACAAAGATAAAACAGACACAACAAAGAGTTCTCAATCACCCTTCTATACGTTTGGCAAACAAACTCAACTAATGCGAGGCATAGAGTAAAGAGGATAAAACCTAGATGGGCACCGCAACGATAAAGGAACCACGGCTGATCCACGGAAGACGCACAGAGCGCAAAAAGGGGTGCGGACGAGTCCTCAATGATTGATCCGCACCCGCCCCCTTCATGACCATTCCAACGAGCTGAAAGAGTCACGGAACGGTGGCCTATCGGTTCTGATTTAGGCCCCGTTTACCCCCAAGAGAACATCAAGCAAACAAAAAAGGAATGGAACTGTGACAATGAACTCCTTCACCAAATGCGAGATCCACCTCAGCATCCCAAAGAACCTCAGCCAAGATCCGCGCCATCTTTCGCCCCAGGCCCTTCTTGCGGACCTTTCCGCCTGAACGCGTGAGCGTGTGCTTTCTTTGGGTGACTCCACTAGATTCTAGGATGCTACGCACAGAACTGCTATTCAGAACTGCAATGCAAACTGGGCTACTAGCTCGTTAGAACCCGGGGTTCCCGCTCTTGGCAAATCTTTCGTGGAGTTCCCCAGGACCAAACACAGCCAGCAACATCCCTTGCATATGGGCCCAAAGGTAACCCGTCACGACATGACGTGCTGAGAATCTATGAATCTCTGGCATGCACCCCTGGGCCCCTGATTACTCCAGCAGCAACGTATGGGCCCAACATGGCCATGCCGCCTAACGCCTAACGCCAAGCCTTTACTTGCGTTCGCGGCCCAAGATTTCATTGAATCTCGGGATGCATTCGGGTTCCCTGCCTTTCATGCCAGCAACCACATTCAGCAACCTAGTTTCAATACATCTCCACAAGTGCAGGGCTGACATTGAATGAACCCACAGGAGAAGTTGAGCATTCTTTACCTTCCAACCATCGCTCGGGATGACTCTCCAGATCAAATAAGTCGGCACAGGCCTCAGGTTTCTGGCACGGTCAGAAACGCAGGAAAGGCTTGGCCGGGGGCTGATGGAAACAAATCATTGGGCATCTGCAGTTGGGATGGATGAAACCCTTTGAATCTATGAATAGTTGGATAAATCACCCATCCCAACGGCTGCAAAGCACGAAGCACGAATCACACAGGAGGGAATTCGGGCACACCATGGGCCAGCGTGAATCACGAATCACGAAGCACGAATCACACAGGAGGGAATTCGGGCACACCATGGGCCAGCATGAATCACGAATCACGAATCACGAATCACGAATCACGAATCACGCAGGAGGGAATTCGGGCACACCGTGGGTGAGCGGGAATCACGAATCACGAATCACGAATCACGAATCACGCAGGAGGGAAGTCGGGCACATCATGGGCCAGCATGAATCACGAAGCACGAAGCACGAATCACGCAGCGTTTACGCGACAATGGTCAACGCAAACTATGAATGGACAAGGCAGGCGAGGGGACCATCAGTTGTTCGCTTCACATAGTTACGCCGCCCCTAAAAGACTGTGGTTTCAGCAAGCTGATACCTACGTCTACCAGGGCTCAACCGATGGCCCCGCCGAAAATCCTTTGCAAACTGAACACCCAAGAAGTGGATGCCAATGTTCGCCGGGAAAAAACAAAAAGCCCACCTGTTTCCGACCAGGTAAATTCCAATTTTCGTCGAAATTTGAGAACTGCTAAGCGCTAGGATGCTACTAGCGCGGAAACGAGCCGTCACACTCCCCCCTGGCCGTCACCAGCCGTCGCCAGCCGTTATCAGCCATCACCAGCCGTCACCAGCCGTCACCAGCCGTCGCCATCACCAGCCGTCACCAGCCGTCGCCAGGCCGTCACCAGCCGTCCCCAGCCGTCACCAGCCGTCACCAGCCGTCACCAGCCGTCGCCAGCCGTCACCAGCCGTCGCCAGCCGTCACCAGCCGTCCCCGGCCGTCCCCAGCCGTCACCAGCCGTCACCAGCCGTCGCCATCAGCAGCGTCAACAGCCAACAGTAGCCGGCACCAGCCGTCACCAGCCGTCACCAGCCGTCACCAGCCGTCACCAGCCGTCACCAGCCGTCACCAGCCGTCACCAGCCGTCACCAGCCGTCTCATTCCAAACCCGACCCTCCCCAAGTTCAAGAAAAATGGAATGGAATGATTCCAAAACTCACTTCCCCCCCCCCTCATAGTCCATTTACGAGAGGGGGTGATGGCAAGACGGTGATCCCCCGTCTCGAATCACGAATCACGCATAACGAATCGAGAGCCAGTGGTCCCTCGTCTCGAATCACAAATCACAAATAACGAGCCAGTGATCCCCCATATCGAGCCACGAATCACGGATCACGAATCAAGAAACACGACTGGCAAATCACGAATCACGAATCCCGAATCACGAATCACGAAGCGAGCGCGAATCACACGAAACACGAGTCGTTGATCCCCGGTCACGAATTACGAATTATGGATCACGAAACACGAATCACAAAGCGAACGCGAATCACACGGGACACGAATCACGAGGCGTTGATCGCCGGTCACGAATCGCGAATTACGACGGATTACACGAATCACGAGGCATTGATCCTCGGTCACGAATCACGAATCACGAATCACGAATCACGAATCACAAAACGAGCGCGAATCACACGAATCACGAGCCCGACCCGGAGTCCGGATCGGGACTCGAGGTCGGCCCCAAAACGATCATGGGCAACTCTTTTCCCATTTAGCGGTGAAAGTCATATCTTTTCCCTATTGGACAGCCCATGTAATCATCGCACCTTTTGATCAACCCCCATGTGTCAAAAGAGGGTTTCCTTTGGGTTTCAACCTTTAAAACCCACCCGCAAGATTACACTCACAACACACACACACACACACACCCGTGCGAACCACTCCCGTCCCGGCGCCTGTCTTGAGGCTCAGCGGCTTGCCGCGCCGGGCCTAGCTGACACGTGGGTTTCGAAGAGGGTGAGGCTGGGCTCCCAAACAATCCCCTGGCCCTAGGCCCTAGGACATGGGCGTGTGTGTGTGTGTGTTTTTTTTTTTTTTGTGGACCCCAAAGATGATGCAACTGCTTTCCTTTTGGCTTCCCAAAGAAAACCTACCAAAAAGGGGTACCAACTCCAAAAAAAAGAAGGGCCACCCACATGGTCAGATTTCTGGAGATCAGCATATCATAGGATCCTTCAAACCAGAAGTGCTTCCTCCTGCGTCAGTGCACCCCGGGACAAGCTCCCAAAGATCGCACCATCTCACCTGCATCAACGTAAGGCAGGATGGGATTTGCTCCGCAAACTGTAGCTTTCCAGAGGTCGGACAAGATAGACACCGACCCACTCAAGATGGCGTGGGCGGCCGACAGCCTAAATCGAAGAACTGCTTGGGCCACCATGCACACCGCGTCTCTCCAAAGCAAGACACGCAAACAGGGAGAGCCAAACACGATGAAACCTGCCTTCCACAAATCGCGGGAGGAAATGGATTGCTTCATATCCGAAAGCCTCACTCCACATCAATGTCGTATCGTTGTGCTGGTCATTGCGGGACCGGTGAAGACCAGCACCTTGAAAACAGGACAAAGAAACACGCTTTGGTCACGTGCCAAGGTCCTGGTGCAATCACACATATTATCATTTTAAATAAGTCAAGCATTTGGAGCTTGTGGCAAGGGGAGCAGGTGGCTGGTGGCTAAACAATAGAATTGTGCGATCCACAAAGACCAAAGGCTGCAAAAGAGAAAACAACCCTTCAGCATGGAAAGCGATCAATCGCCAGCCCAATTTGGCCTTGTCGGCAGCAGCAGCAGCTCTTTCCCTCTCCAAAGCAGCTTTCCTGAGGAAGCAAGCTGTTGACCCCTGTGCCCCGCCTTTAAAGACGACAATGCGTCATGTAATTTGAAAAGAGGCATGCCGGTTGAAGGCACCAAAAGGAAGCACCGGCGGCTTGGCTCCTTCCAGCAACTCACAATCCATACAAACCAAATGCGAATACTGCACTCAGCGCTAGCAGAACATACTCTGATATCAATCGATGTTCCTTTCACGACCATTGCCCCAGTCAAGCTGATTCAAGCGCTGACAAGCTCTTTAGAATTTCACCCCAAACGAAAAGCAAAGACCGCACCAACACTGTAGGGACTCTGGCCTGGGGCAAGTCAAGAGAATGATACCACGGGAGGGCAAGCAAGACAACTGGATGCCAGCAAGGTTTACCTCGTAACTCCAAGAAATCCAGGCCCAGATTATTTTTGGTAAATTACAATCACACAGTGCTCTATTTTGTCTCGAGGGTCACAAAACCATAAAAGCGGAAGCCTGTCAAGGATAGCACCCTGTGTGCGGATGTCATTTCCTCACTCATGTCACCACTCATGTGAATAAAAACAACCACCTGCTGCATCTCATAGTCAGGTCAAGATCAAGGTTCAGAGCTGCCTGGAGAACCGCACACACGAAAGTTGCGGATGTATCAGGGTTCCTCACACAAAGCCGAACTTTGCACCTCTCGAATCTCTCAAATCACAAAGGCCGACATCATGATTCCCATCAAAGATCTGAGGGCTTGCATATGTATTGGCTGAGCAAGCGGTACACCATCCTGGTATGGATCATCGCCCGTTGTCCAACCCCTCAACCTGCTGCAAGCCAAGGAGTCTTCTTGGACCAAGAAACTTGAGGCAAAGGCTCGCATGAAGCCAGAAAGTTCCGGGCAATCGGAGTCTGTGCCATTCGATCGGGAACTGTGCCTTTGCGGCCTAATTCAAAGGGATGGTTTGACCATCGTTGCCAGGGGATGCACACCATGCACAAAAAAAAGTTCTGCCAGTGAGCACTTGGACCTTTTGGCGCCCCACACCCCATGGATGGACGAACAACTCCGGGAGTCCACGAGTCCACGCCAAGCTGCTCTGCTTTGTCGGTCGCCTCAGGAAAATGCGCGGAATGCGCAACTCTGCTCACAAGTCGCATCGACAAGAGCCCAGAGGTGCAACTCATGGCCAAACAAGGCCTCCTGCCATAGGTGACCTTGTTCTAAGGCTTGAGTCCCCATTCTCTTCACTCAGCGTTCTCTTTAGAAACCACCCTATTTTCCAGGCGTTGGCCCATTTTTTGAAGAGAAGGATCCTTGAAGAGAATGGGGAGGGTACGGCTAGACTTGTGGGTAAATAGATGGCCCTGGTAAATGGGGCATAAAACCATGCTAAACCAGGGCCATCTATGTCGAACCAAACCAACCTAAAGAGGACACCTATGCCTCCTGCATGAAGGATCCAAAGATCAAGGCTGAATATATCTGTGCAGCGATAAAACAGAGGCACTCAAAGCAGCTAAGGAGCACGCTGACAAAAGAACCGCAGCCAGACCAGCCCACATGTGGTCAATTTGCTTGATATCCCAATTGAAGTGGGGATCACATATTCTCCCCTCTATTCCTGCATGCTTTGCCAAGAAACCCTTGCAAATTTCAGGAAGCCGTCAACACCAAAGTCTTAAATGGTCATCCACTCCCTATCTTCATTCAGATATGCAAAGCGGTTTCGGCCGGCTGCATGTACCTAGCACCGCCTTGTGTCCTCAACCAGCCGACCAGTCCCCCTGCCCCCAATCCGGTGCCTGCCGGTCATCCTCGCCTGTGGAATTGCGACTTTTCACCAAGGCAAGCCAACCCTTATCAGACTAAAAGGTATGTGGGGGCTGATTAAAAGGTCCTTTAGCATGACCATTGGGAAAAACCATGAAAAGATGCTATTTCCCACTATACAAATCGGAAAAGTTACCCATAGTCATTTGGGGGCCGAACGGAGTATAGATCAACCCCCAGGCAAGTCCAAGCACGGTGAGCGTCTCCAAGCTGGAAAAAGCGAGTTTGCCAGCGGTTATCAGGTCCTAGGATCGCGGTGGTTCTGCCGTGAAAAAAAAACATTTGACGGACCAAAAATAAGAAAGATGGGTCTAAGAACAAAAGCTTAGCGAGATTTGATTCACCGGCGCAGCGATAATTCACCCATAAACGCTTGATAGTCTTGGAAACCCTCATGCTGGCTGCTTTGGTGTAACTGCCCGTAGCCCTTCGCATACACCAAATACCCAAGTTGCACCCAGCAAACCGTTCGGCAAATCGGAAAAGCACTGGCCAACTCACCCACTCACCCTGACACCCTCACGCCCGGGCCTCGCTTCTCCTTCTCCTTCTCGGGCCCCGCTTTCTCCTACAAGTCTCGCGCATGCAAAGCGCCAGCGCGCCCGGCGCACCCAAAAGCTAAGGGGAAGCAGAGTTTGTTGGTCGCAGACTTTCGTTGGGTCACCCAATGCCACACCGGAGCCAACTTTTGTTCCCCCCGTAAAAAAAACCAACCGAACCCCCAAAAAGACAGCTGAGTCGGAACCTGTCAAAAGTGCCCATGGAAGATGTCCACACCCAAGTACAGCGGGCTCTAAGAAACCATCTCTCCTTCTCAGCCTTCTCGGATTTCTCGGGCAGAGACCTAAGATCACAAAACCAGCGGCGCCTGAGAAAAACCCATTGACATCTGGGTCCGCCATGGCTGTAAAGTTTTACATGGGGGTGTCTTAAAGAATTGAGGACCCCCAAAAAAAGGATTTCCTTCGATTGAGCAAGTTGGGCATTTTCCGGCATGGTTCCTGGCAGTATGGATGAGGGTATACGACCAATATAGGCTGGTAAGGCAGGCCATAACCCTTATTATTATATGTGGTATATAGCCTCCACCTCCAAAGCCCATCCCTGGAACTGGCGGCTCGAGTTACCCATCCAGTATTCGGATGGCCAACTGAAACGAAGCGGTTGGGTTCATGCCACGTTTGCGACTTCTTCGTGACCTGGATGCTGCTATGGCCAATGGGGGTTGTGGGCGCAATGAATGAATGCCCTCGCGTGTTTCTGGGTCGCACTACCTCGCAGATGGTTTGCAAGGGCTATATCCTGGAACCACGAAATCGGATAAAACAAATTTCTGCAAGCAGGTCTACGTTGAACGGATGTGGCTAAGGAGGCAGGGGGCAACAAGCAAGAGCTTCCATGTAGATCTCTATGTGAACAAGAACGGTCTAAATTCCTTGTGGTGAATGAATGCTCCAGGCTGCTCCAAGGTTCCAAGTTCGGAAGGTTCAATGACACGCAAGCGGCTTGGCCAGCGAGCTTTACAAAGTCAGGCCGAGCAGAGCTTGGAGATGCTGTCGCGTCACTCCGCGACAGAAACCACACGGAAGCATCCGGAACGGTCTGCCTCGAATTATTTCCGAAAGGTTTGTGCCATAGAGCTCCTTTTGCGGGGTGGTCACAAGTCATGACTCATACCTGGAAAGCCTTACAATCTAAACTCCGAAGTGAGCCGTGATCATCCCAGCCACCAGCAAGGTCATTGCCTGCAAGTTTGGCCGCGTAAGGCCGCACATTGGGCTCCCGGGCTTGCTCCTGCTAATGGCTTTGAGCGCCTGGTCGAGTCTTTGCCAAAGAAACACGGGGGGGAGGGGAGAGGGTCCACATTTTCGATTGGACCGAGGAAAGGAGCACTTGAGCACTCACACTGTGCGGCCACTTCTCTGAAATAAATAGAGCTGTCTACAAAGCATCCATCACTCCCACAGCTCAATTGCCAAACGCTGGGCGGATACGCGGGTGTGGTCGCATTGCTGAAAAGCACCGAAACCAACAAGAATGCCTCACAAACCAAAGGCATTTGGCTTAGCCTTCCTCTTCCCCCCTTCGGACAGTGATCAAGTCTGTGCATGCATGTCGCGACAGCCCACTACTAACCCTGAAACCAACATGACAGCGCACAACCAACCACTATGCTCTTCCAAAAGAATCGTCAAAATACGACTTAAAAATTTGCGGGGCACCCATGGTGAGGTGCAATCGTCAAGCAGCTGAATGCTCGAAGTATGCGAACGGTCAGAAACTGAATTTCTCAACCCATATACAGCAAGAAGGAATCATATTCCTCTCCAATAAGAAAGCCATCTTGCCATCTCCTGGTTTGGATGTCTTCCACATGGGTCAGGTTTTCGATACCTGCTCAGTTGCTGGTTGGCCAAAAGGCTACTCGACTGTACTTCTTCCCATAACGAGGATTGCTCAAAACAAGCTTGAAAGATACTCACAAAGTGACTCCATGGTCAAATCTTTGCCATTCGCGCTTACACCAGTGACTTGTGCACGACTCTTGCCTCAGAAAAAGGAATGGATCTTCACTCAACGTTCTGGCACGACCCTGATATCTCCAGGGAAGAACAGAGGTGTAAGTTGCAAGTCCATCCTTGTGTGACAATGGAGGGCGAAAAGTGTTTGTGTCCTTGTGGTTGTGTGCTTTTGTGGTTCTTGTTTGTACGCCACCACCCGAATCAGCATGCAACAGCCTTCTTCATTCTCTGCTCTCTGGGGCTTCCGGCTGATCGGCTCGCACGCCTGCCAAACCGACAGGTACAAAGGCTCCCGCAAAGTCAAAATATGAACCACAAGTTCCACGCCCAATCGCAGATCTTCTTGGCAAGGCACAAAATGGGTTTGTGGTCTTAAGGTTCCCTTTTCATGTACATATGCAGGGACACCAAAAGGAAGACAACCCTTTTTTGGGATTTTTGGCCCATACCCCCCCAAAACCAACGTTGTCCTTGCGCTGCTTGGCCCCAGTCCCGCAAGCAAGGCCTGAAGCGAAATGTGAGCAACACGATTTACGAGGCATTGGACCAGTCCGCCTTGAACTGTATTGGGCCACCGCTCAGTAGAGGTGCGCAAGCCCTGGTGTGTGTGTGTGTGGGTGTGTCTGGTTGGTGAAGGACAAATCTGCTTTGCTGACGGCCGAGAGTGACCCAATGAAGGATCCAAGCATGCATGATTGAGCAATGGTGTATTCTCCTGGATCGCTTGAGCGGATCCATCCGTCAAAGTGGACTTGTTCCAGCATTGTCCAGCACAAGCAGCGAGCGGGGCTGCTGTGGCAACCAGCCCGATGCAATGCAGCTACCTGAAGAATGAAGACCTGATGTGAAGCATCACTGTCTCCGCTCAGCAGGCTTCCGTTGCGTCAAGTTGCCATGGCTCCTTTAGGGGCACTCCTAACGTGCCCATGAGCTGAAGAAGCATCAAAGGAAAGGTCTCCGAATCCTCAAACCTGTCAAATAACTGCTTCGCTTCTGGTCAGAGGAGCAGCCCAACAGCTTGCTTTTGGCCTTTGTCACAGGGCATGGCTTCCCTTCCCTCAAGGAGAGCCATTCCCGGTTCCAGGCCATTGAGCCCACCCCCCAAACACCGAAAGAGGGCGGCCGCCTCTGCTTCGGCCACGGCGACTCGTCCCCTGCGCGCACTCACAGAGACATTCCTCTGGCTCAAGCTTCTGAGCAGATAACATGCCGTCGCCCAGTTTCTTAGTAGAAAAAATTATCAACTGCCTCTAAACCTCTTCATCTCTGTGGTTGCATATTGATCTTCCAAAAGCAGGGGATTCGCAGAAAATGAATCCTGAAGTACTGGTCCACCGAGTGATTGTGGCCAACCCAAAAACATCATGGAAGGGTTTTTTAAGGCGAGCGACCCGACCCATCCTACTCTTGATGTTGTTTGTTCATCTGAGGCTCCAGCAAAAAATGGCAAGGAGAAGTAAATATGTATTATCCCTGGCTCCAAACGTTCATACCACACAACGGTACATCTTGATTTGCGAGCACATGCCACATCCTGTCTGCTGTGGCACAGACCCGCCTGCAAAGCTCAAAGATGTACCCTTGATCATCTCCTTCGCATCACCTTCCGGCAGTGCTTTCTTGGGCTCTAAAGAACATAGGTCAAAGGCTGAATATACAGGACCATGTATGAACCCATGTTTCCATTTTGGACCCCAAAGAGACCTGGTTTCCCATGATTAAGCCATAACTAATTAACCCATAAACTACGGGTTGACCTTCAGCTTGTGGTGCTGGGGCTGCAAAACTGCTCCAACTGATGTCCACTCTTGAAGCATCAGGCTCCAGCATTCAGAGCTCTGCAGCACGTGTCAGAAAACATGCAAATGTTGAGCCCCTCATTGTAAGTATGGAGGTTGCATACGAGGCCGCTTGCATGGATTACTTGTTTGGAAAGTAGGCCTGGGTTCATACACGGGCTCTGCAGTCCTTCAAGATGCCAGAACTCGGACTTGCGACGTGGCATGGGTCAACACCCCGTACCCCCAGTGAACATCCGAATCCCCACTAAAATAGACTAAAATGGGTGGGGCACCTACCCCAAAATGGGATCCAATTGGTGGTGACCCGCAGCCATGTCCATTCTCGACGCGTCGGCCTTGTGCATCGTCGCCTTCACGCTCTTGAGAGCGAACCTCGTGCGAGCCGCTTCCCTCAGAGCTAGCTGTATTCCTGGCTTGAACCCGAAATGCCGAACCCAAGGACGGGCTCAACTTCGTCTACGTCTCTTCCCACAACCGTTCTGAGCTGTCAGAAATCAGGTTTGGTGCAACACCTCTGTACTTGCGCGCCTTGAGCACGCACGCCTTGCGTGCTTCAGAGCAAAATTCCCAAAAAAGAGTCATTGGAAAATATGGTGTGGCAACAAATAAACGTATGTGGTGTGCACTTGTTGTACTGTTGCAGCCGCGGCAGTTGCGGCGGCTGTTGGTGCCAGTGTCATGTTCTGGGACCACTCTTACAGCACAGCCCAGCAACAAAGTCAACTGCCACCAGTGCAGGCAGGACAAAATCACTGCCACTTAAACCATGATCACAACTGCAATGGTCGACATAAACGCCAGCCAATGGCAGCTGCGCAGCAGCCGCAGCAGCAGCAAGCAGCAGCCGCAGCAGCAGCAAGACTGGTACTTCCTGCCACCACCAGGCTCCCCACAGGCTCTTTGCAGCTTTCCGGATAGCCGCTTGCCTCAGCCTGCAGGTCACAAGATTCAAAAAGCGAGCGCATGAATTCTGAAAGATTGGGGCACATCACGGCTTGCACAGGAAGAATTTCCTCCGGTTTTTTGTGGGTATGGCTCAAAATTAAGCGGGAGGGGTTACGCCTACGCAGGTTTGGTCCATGTTTCCACTTACCAGGGTTCCATTTTGGTACCGGTTTGTTGAGCCAAAGCCTTGTTTCAAGGTGACCGACGCCCTTTGCCCAAGCGATCACCCCAGCGCCTGCTCTCGGGGATCCTTGGCAAAAGCGGAGCGTCTTGCATGCCTTCCAAATGGAGCAGTGTCAAACTGAGTCACCTTCAAGATCTGGTACCAAAAGGCTCTGCCGCAAAGAACTGAATGAAGAATCAACAGGCGCACCCCCATTGATAGCTCGACTGACCCCTCTCAGGCACAGAGAAAGGCCACGAAGGTGGCCAACGGGGCGGCCAATCGCGCGTCCCGTTCCTTCAACATGTACGTAGAGTTTGGATGAAACCCGGAACTTGAAAGAATCTTGGGCACGAAAAAGTCACCCAAAACAGGTATGGCTCCCTTGCAGGGCAGACACGTCCAAAATATTGATGGCGCATCTCTAGTAGTTTGTGGCTGATCAGCAGCCCACCCCACTCAATCTAACTCTGTGATAGTTGCTCTTTGCGTTTAAGTGGGCTGCTGTATGATGTGTGCACCACAGAAGAGCTTCTTTCACCCAAAGGCACACCAAATGAACAGAGTTGGAAAGACAAGCTGCAGTGCATCTGAGACCAACACTTCCACACAAGAGCCATGATCGGCGCGAAGATTTGTTATCCCTGTGGATTCCCAGCCTTTTGATCTGGGCGGAGACCATATTGCTGTCTATCCCCGTCGCGGTACCGAAGACAGCTCTGAACATATAAATCAACTAAGAAAAAATTCATATTCACATAAAGTGAATCACTGAAATGAAGAAAACAAAATGGCTTTGGTGGGCCAAAGATCAAAGACCTGGTGGCCCGGTTGGCCCTGGTCTTTTGGCATAAGGCTGGGGCCGCCGCGTCATCTTCCTCCTGGGGCGTTTTAGTGGAAAAGGACTGGGATCTTTCTGCCAAAACGCGAAAAGTGTTTGGATGTGCAAGGGAATGATTGATTTCCAAGAGGCGAGTTTGTGACATTCGCATTGGTGACAATGTTGTGCTGGATGCCAAAGCGCCAAAAGCGGCCCGAAAATATGTGAAGCAAACAACACAATCTGAGAGCCTGGCTCACCCAAAGGCGGAGCACATCACAAAAAGTGGCCAAGCGCAGTAAACTTTGGTACAGCTCAAAGGCTTGCTGAATTGGGCGATCGTCATTGCAACGCATACTGCAAGGGAGCGAAGTGGCTGTCTGGCCTGGAGCAATAGAAACATTCTGGGTATGCGTAAGAGTTTTTGCCACAACTGTCGATGCCACCAGGTCACAAAGTCACAACATTCCGCCTGTTCCTATGAGAGATCATTGCCTGTGCAGGCTATGTATTGTTTTAGAGTGGATTGCCATCTTGCCTATCTTCAAGCATAGGTGCGGATACTCTTCTCAGGCCTGCCGTGCCAATCACACCGAAAGAATGTCTACTTCTTGCGAAATAAATCCGCGGCAACAGCCTTGTTTCGATACATTTTTGGGGCGGGGCAGGCTGCTCCCATCACTGGAACCGGAACCACAAACCATGCGATGCCATTTCGGGTTGCTCATGTAGATGTTCGACCTGCGTCAGGGATCATGCCAAGTCCGCATCTTACTAGTGTGTGACGCTCTTCGAGCGTTATGATTGCTTCGAGGTGTCAATAGTCCAACCAAACCCGTCATATGATCCCATGGTAGTCATCCTGCTGGAGAACATTGCTTCACTTGCAAGCATCAAGTCAAGATACAACGGACTTGGATTTATTTGCTGATCTCCAGGAATACCTGAATCGGATGGGGTAGAGCAAATCAATGGCAAAGGAAAAGCACTCAAACTAGATCACTTGCTAGATCAAACCTAAGCAGAGGTCATCTCACAGCTTTTATCTTCCTCACCTACGTAGGTTGAGTCGGTGGTTGGGAGACAAGATGGCATTCCAAAAACAAAACGAAAAACATCAACAGAAAAACAACAACGCGTCCAGCCCCACTGGCACGCTCAGCTTGAAACATAATGTTGCTTTCTTTGGCGACCGCGCAGGCGGGGCTATGCTTTTTGAGGGCTGCCCAGGATTAATGTTGTCCTCCTCAGATCCAATTGCTTGTCAGTCTCTTTTGGGGCCGGCCTTCGGCCTCAGTACCCAGGTTGATTGAGGCTGGTTCCACTACCAACCCAAGAAAAAAAGAATGAAACCAAGACAACCCGCAAAATGTGGCAATCCAATCCGGCCGTCCAACCCACAGCTTTGCCGCTCTCCGGGAGAAAAAAAAAGAAAGAAAAAAACATCCCATGGTCCCTTTGCGCTCCGCTCCAAGAAATTCTCGAGTCCGGGAGGTTGGGACGAAGCCAAAAACATCACACGACTCAATGAGCGGGCTCAACACGACCTCTGAATGCAAGTGGACCCCTCGTTCCTCAATGGAAATGGACTCGAATCCAGGGCTAGGAACTGGTGACTACTTCACCGAACCTGTCGGGCCTACGGGTCTGTCGTTTTTAAGGGTACCCCCCTAAAGTGGTGGTGTTCCTTTTGGTTCTGCTGAAAAACATGTTGCGGGGTCCCCCAAAACGGCACACCCTTATCCTCAAAATACACCCCCCCACCAAAAAAAAAAAGGTCGTCCTCTGCCTCGGAGCAGCTCTCTTGCAGCCGGCCCAGGGCGATAGTTAAGGCCTGGGATCCCAGACCAGAGACTGAAGAATACACCAACCACAACCAAGACTACAACCACGACCAAGCCACACCCAACCAAAACAAAACCGAACCAAAAGAAGACCAAAGCCAACCCAGGATCCGGGCTTCAAACAAACAATTGGAAACGGTGTCGAAGGTTGCAAGGCCAACAGCAAACAACCAGCAAACACGAGTCCAAACGAACCCATCGGATGCTGGCAGTGGTTGGCTCGTTTTCGTTTTCCACAAGACGGCCCCTTCTTGAAAAAAAAAAGAAAGTCTGATGGCATGGCAGCTCCATCTCTCAGCTTCGGTTCCACGGTCGCCAAACGCTTCGGTTCCGAACCCCTCGCCCGCCTCGGCCAAGGCGGCAGGGTCCCGCCGCCAGTCCCTTGCCTCAGCCGTGCTGTCCATCTCTTCATGCCAGCGCCTAACCAATAAGTGTGCGAACGTCTCTGCGGGTTTATATATATATATAATAGTATGTGTGTGTGCTTTTTTTGGGGGGGAATGATGTAAGTTAGATTGATCTGCATAAGCTGACAACTCACAAGCCTGAAATTCGGGAGCTCCAAAAGGGAAACCTTGTTTTCGGGTTCTTGTTTTAGGTTTCAGATGGTGGTTGTTTCATCAATAGATATTCAAACAAAGGTATCCACCAACAAGCGGTGAGGATCAGGCCACTGGCAGAACTTGGGCCAGAAGCCGTAGGCAGTCTGATCAAGAAAAACCGGGTTCCCTTGATATGTCCCCTGAACAAATCCCTACAAAGGGGAACTCGCCCTTAGTGGCCAAAAAAGAGTGATGCTTGAACAAGGAGTGCCCCTCTCTGCTTCATGATTTGTTGATCTGCATAAGCTGACAATTCCCTAGCCTGAATTTGGGACCTCTGAAGGGAAATCTTTGCTACTTTGCTGTGGGGTCTTATGCTCATGTATTTGGATGGACGAAATCCTGACCATTGTTTGTTTGTATTTACAGGGGAACCGTATATCACCTACCGTGTGCATCGGCATCATGGCGTCCATCGGAATGGGCAAACGATTCCTCGTGTCCCAAAGAACTACCAGCTTTTAAGCCGATCCCACCCTGGTCCTCAGTCGCCAAGCTATCTCTTTACGAGAGAGTCACAACAAATGGAAACGGTGCTTGGTTTCTTGGAAGCAAACGCCTGCTGCCAACTTCGGATCTATCCGGAAGACTGTCAAAATCAGGGGGTAGTGGTTCCCCCCTTTCAGTTGGGATTCCTCTGCATGGGCCTCAGGATCCCGAAAATTGGATGGGCTAAGTCCATGGCAAGGCATTTCAAATCCAACGAAAGGGGTTGCTTCAGCCACCAAAGATCAACCGAGTGTGTCTTGATTTAGGGGACCCCAAACTGATGTTCCTTCGATTCCTTCTGGTTTCCTTTTAAAACCCTGAAAAAAGGGGTACTCCCAAAAAAAGCAAGACACCCCCAACTGACGCCCACCGCGTGCCCCAAACTCGCCTGGGACATGAGGTTGAGCTCCTGGCCGGGAATCGGGGAGGGTTTGTCGGGGCTCCGGAATCAAGCCATCTAGGAGCGGGGTCCCCCAAAAGCGAAGCATCCAAGAAACACGGGACACCCACGGCTAAGCGACTAGGGATTTATAGATGCCTGCTCAACATCAGTGCTAATCAGCGAGCATATGCAGACGAGAATTGCTAGGGTGCAGGTAATGCCCGTGAGAAGAGGGCGGAAGAAGTATGAAAGACGACAAGAAAGAGCTGGCAAAGGCTGGCAAATCACCGGCTAGATCTCCACTTAAGCTTGCTCTGTGATCTATGTGTTCGATCGCACTATGCAACCTCTCCGTGCGATCTCTCTGTGCAATCTCTCTGTGCAATCTCTCTGTGCAATGTCTTTGTGCAATCTCTGTGTGTTTGCAGCTTCCTCTGCAATCTCCCCGTGCACAATATGCTTGTGCAAATATCGTGCAATCTTGAAAGGTCCAATTTACATACCCCGACACACCCCAAAATATGCGGGTATGAACGCGACAGGAGGTTGAACAAGCTCCATCCAGGGTGCAAAAGCATCCAAATGTGTGGAAGCACGACAACAACCACTACAAAAGTTAACCCCATCATAAACTCAATACCTTACATTCCCACTGTGCTTGCAACCGCCAAGCCCTGAGAAGAGCATCTTCGCAACTCATTGTCTGAACCACACAGCAAATAAACAACGCACGCACTCCAACAAAAGGATCTGGCGTAGAGTCAGGTGTCCGCCCAAAGGGTGTTGGTCGATTCCTTGCCTGAACCGCAAACTGCAAGCGGCACTTGTGAGTCGGATGCCTTGATGTGACGGCTGTGACCCGACCTACAGGGTTCCCCAGGTCCCCAGACCCACCCGCCTTCGGCCTCTCAACGTGCCGCGCGCCTTCAAACACAGAGAGTGCAGAGACAAACCGGTCCCAACATTCAGACTCTCTGAACACAAACTCGATTTAAAAAGTTCAACTGCAACATGAGCTCAGAGACTGGTCGCCAATTGCTGCTATTCTCGCACCACCCAGTAATTAATTGTCAACAAACAGGTATTAGCCGCAGGGCGACAGCCTGGAGTTCCAGCCAACACAGATCCCGACATGTCGACAAGAAATCGCTACTCGCAGGTTTCGGTTTGGGAACTGCTTGACCACCAGGGCACTCTGTTCAAGCGCAAAGGCCCAGCATTCTGAATATCCGTCTCAGATCGTAAGGCCTCAGATTCCACCGGCTCTGTGTGGCCTGTGGCGCCCAAGCACCACCAAAGCCGATGATTAAACACCAGAGATCCTTCCAGCCAGATTGTCGCGTCATCTCTTGGGTGCTGTTTGAAGGGAGCTTGGACCCTTTTTGGGGCTTCAAGAGGAAGACCTAAAGGAAAGCGCCATTTTGTCTGCCTCATCAAGGCCGCTTTTTCCACCCGCTCACCGGAAACTGGAAACCCCCCGAAACCCGCCCCCGGCCGCCCGGTGCCTCGCGCACCACGCCCGCCCAAGCGCACCCCGGAGACAGAGAAGTTGCCCTCGACCTGGAAAGACAGCAAGGGACAAACTCAGGATCGGACATGGACGAAGAAAAAGCCTCTGTTTCATGGCAAAACATGGTTAAACATGCTAGACAAGCATGTTTCTGCGATTCACCAAGCAAACACCAGAGTTGTCAAACCGCTATTCCTTTGACTTGCGCGTCTTCGTTGCGACACAACAGCCCTGGTGAGAAGTGCGGCAGTGTTTCCGAGTATACTGAGTCCAAGGTGAAGAGAATGCCCAATGTGCAGGGTGAGTGTAATTCCCGTCAATATTCGATGCCAAGGTGCCATGTTGTAGCCTTCATTCCATCAAAAGCCACCTTCACTGCAGGTCTCGCGAGGATTTCACAAGATCTCATGAGCAACATCGCGTAGTGTCGAAAGCAACAGCCTTCTTTCGCGACTCGCGCGCGCGCGATCCGTGCGTGCTTGATGCTGCTGGCCTTCGAAGAGCGGTCTCCCAGTCTGACAACAAACAAACACTCTGCCCACAACCAGCTTTGTGAAAACCTTGCAGCTCAGCTGCCAGGCGTTCTGGAGGATTCAGCAAGAAGCTCAGTGGACCAATCTCCGGACCGTCTCTTCACAAAACCCGGGACCTCCCACCCCACCCCACCAGCCCGGCCTCCTCCTCTTCGGCTGGCTGGGGAATCACCACACGTTGTGGCGGGTGCTTCAGCCGCCGCTTGCGCCTCGGATCGGCTCCTGCTTCATTGGTGGCTCGTCTTTTAGGGGATCCCTCCAAAATGGTGAAATTCGTGTTCCATTTTGGTTCCCCTTCAAAAGGAAAAGGGGGACCTTCAATAAAAGACACACCCAGATGTACCCCATTGGGTCACTGGTGACATATGTTGTGCTTGCATCTGACGACTTTGTCTTTCTAAGGCTGGACACCGCGGCATGGGCTTGACCCAGGGTGGGTTTAGGCTGTCTTCCGGCTTGGTTTGGGATTGGCTTGGCCGGAGTCTAGGCTGGTGGTTTGGGTCTTGGGGTGGGTTTAGGGTTGGCTCAAGGAAAGTTGGTTTCGTGCGGGTGGGGCTTAGGGTTGGATTAGGCTGGATTTAGAGTGCGGGCGTTATGATTGGTTGGGCATGGGTTTATGGTGGGTTAAGCTTGAGTTTGACACGTGCTTAAGATGCGGGCGGAGGTGGGTTTGGCCTGGAATTAGGGGAGGTCTGGGGTTGGGCTGGGGTTGGGCTTTGGGTTGGTTTATCCTCCATTTAGGGTAGGTTCACGCTTGGATGGTAATGCGCGTATGATTGGTTTGGAGGAGGACATCCCTGATCATACAAGCATCCTGCCTACTAAGGGAGAGAACTCCTGATCAAGTGGCTATCCCTCACCTACTCAAACCCCAGTACCAAGAATGCCTGCCTGGTTGCTTTTTCATTTACTGGAGAAACCACCCTAATGAAACAATAATCACCCTGTGCCAGCTGAGTCCCCCCCCCCACCCCCGGAGATCCCACACCCAAAGCCAACATGCCGACAATCGATATCCAAGCATATCGAACATGATTGAAACCTGTGAGGCCTGACTTGCTTCATGTTTGCTCAACTATTGCCATGTCATTATTCGAGTCAAAAAAAGCGTGGGCCAAAGTATCAACTATCCAAAGTATTCGGGCGAGGCCCGGAGGCTGGGATCCGTGAAGTTTACCATGGCCTCAATGATCAAAATCAGTGTGATGAATTTGGTTAGCTGGAATGACTGAATCAGTGGAACAAACATCATGCCTGTCTATCTTACATGATTTACTGATCTTCATGATTATTGGCCACACCTGAACTTCTTGAGGTTGGGATCGGCCAAGGTGTTCAATTTGACTCTCAATTATCCTCAGTAGTGGCCAAGCCTGATATCTGGGATCAGTCATTTGGTTGCATATGTTGCCTTGATTGATTTAGACTAAACTGTTCGAAACAATTCGATGACTAGAATTGGGGGCCACACACCTACCATGAGGCGCGCCTGAGTTCCGATAAAGTCCACCCACCAACCATTTCAAATAACATTTGTTACAAAACATCCTTACCGTTCACCGTATTATGATTAGTTTCACCGTATTCTACTATTTTGAAGGTTAAGCAGTTGTTTTTCTTCCGCAAATGTTGTGTTTTCTTGCTGTGCTTTATCAATATGCTTCTGTGTTTTCAACGCACTTCGATTTGATCATAAACTGTCTCGTATTGCTTGTTCTTTGCACTGAGTTCTTCCTTATTTTCTTTGCAATATGTATGCAATACGTATTTGTTTTGCGCATTTCTCTTTTCCTTATTCTTCTGATGTGTTCCTTTTCCTTTTCTAAGCACCTTATACAAGATTTATTTATTCCGATAAATTCTTCATCTGGTTTAGCTGTGCTGCATCTTTTGCAATTTTGCCTCTTCAGAATACCTTTTGGTAGTATGCCCTTACTAAGCCTACACCGCGCCTCAACTTCCTAAATTCCAAAATTCCCAAAACAAATCCCCATAAAATCAAAACATAAATCTTACAATGTGTTTTTATTGTAAGGCTTATGGGTGAAAAATAATATTCATGTGTCAAACAGATAGTTGAAAACTTACCCAAAAATCAGGGGTAGCTTACCTAGGGCGGAGCCCGCTTACCTAAGGTAGCTTACCCCAAAATCTGGGGTAGCTACCCCAAAATGCAGGGCGATTGCCCCTTACCCCAAACTCCGGGGTAAAGAGCAAAGTTCCTTCGCCCAGCTCATTTTGATGCCAGAAGCTCAAACTCACCAAGATTTCACAGATCAAGTCGCTCGATATTTTGTATAAATCCTCGTGTTTATGCTTTACACAATTAGCACCCCAATTTTGATTGGTTCTTCATGATAAGCGCTATGCTGCTTCAATACGCTTATTATTAGTTATCTTGCCACAATCTCTATTACATAATGGTCTAGGTTTCCAAGTTGTAATATTAGTCCAGAGCCTAGTTCGATTTTTGTAACCAAGACCATATTTACAATTTCCTTAAAAGCAAACTCCTTCATAAACGTTGTTCTTTCAGTAATCCAACCTATGAATTTCAACGACATACCATTTTGGTTCGATTTGTTTACTGATTTCAGTGGTTTTTAATACTATACTGTTCGAATATTCTCTGATTGTTATTCCTGTCGTTTTTGCTCTGCTGTCTTCGGTACAAGTGGGGGAGCAGTCCAACTGACCCACAGGTCTCGGCGCTAACTGTTGCAAGGCCAGACGGACGCGGCTCGAACACCAAGGGCGCTCCAGAATGGGCTCGGCGCACCAAGATGCGATCCTCCCCTTTGCGGCCTGGCAAGCTCCATGGCTTTTCGCGTGACCTCAGCCTCCTCGAAGTAGTTGCCAACAGCGCTGCCCGGCGCCTGGCAGTTGTTCAGTGTTACCACACGGGGTGGGAGGTGGGGGGGGGCATTGGATCGCAAACGTTGCTGGTGCGCAAGGCCAAGCTTCGTTGCAGCATGATGACTGCGCGCGCACACGCGCACACACACGCAGACAGACAGACACACAAACACACAGACACGCACACACCCGCAGCATGCTCAGCTGCCGGACACCAATGCCAGCTCTTTCTTGCACGGCGGGGGCATCTGGAATGCGGATCTTGCGCGTGTTGCACCTTTCCTGTTGCACTTTTCCGCTAAAACGGTTCCATCTCCATCGCGCGACGTATCGGTAGCTGAGATGATGTTTGACAAGCTCACTCTCCACTCCGCCTGTGCCTGGATTGCAAATTTTAAACTCTTTGTTTCGTCTCCTCAGACAAGAATCCATGATGTTGCACACACCTGCTGCTCCCCTGGCAGGCCATGCATGGGCCACCTTTTCTGCGACGAGATCCTCTATGAACTCAAAACAAGCTCTAGGGGAGTCATACTTCTTTGGAGCGAGAAGGGAATGGCTGGCGCCTATTGACTGCGCAGGATTCGCGCTGATGACGTTGGTGTCCATGATGCGCGCCACCCCACTTCCGGGTGTGGGACTCTTCGGGTGTCCACTGTGCCCCCGCCGGGCAACGGAATTTCAGCACCCTGGTCACTCCAGTTGTTCTCCTCCCGCCGTGTTGCTCGGCTGCGCCAATTGTCGGCCAAGCTGAATCGCCTCTGGCATCACAGCCGCCACCTTGTCGCTGTCGTCGCCCCAAGGTTTTTCTGCCTTCTTCGAGCTGCTTTGGTTTCTCTGTACCTTGTAGCCGTGGATGGTGTAAGGTTTGCACGCCAGCTTTTTTGGTTCAAGGCCCCCTCCTCGAAGGCATCCTGATCAGCAACCCTGCTGCGAGCCTACCGGGTCGGCGTGCAGTTGCTTTGAATGATCGGGTGCTGGTGACCGCTGAAACACAGGGGCTCTCCTCCTCCAAACGGCCCTCTGTCCTCGTCCTTTCTTGCCTTCTTCGCGCCCTCTTTGCCCTTCTCGCCTTTGTCTCCCTCGGAGCTCGCAGATGATATCCGCTTGCTTGCTCATAGCCTTCCACCTCGCCGAACCAGCTCACCTCGTCTTTGGCAGCCCCTGCTCCGGGCGGATCCGGACGGGCTCTTCTCCTGGTTCCTTGTCTTCTGCTATGTTTCTTTTGCCTGCCCATCACTTTTCTTCTTGCCTTTCTGCCGCTTCCTCTTCTTGTCGGCCTTCTTTCTCTCGTCCCGGGGCCCAATTTCACTCCTCAGAGCTGCAAGGTTGCCTCTCACTCCTGTTGGGTCCTCCACAGCTCCTTTCTTCGGTCTGGTACCTGCCATTCGGGCCACTTCATCTGCCACTTCGCAGAACCATGACCCTTCGAGGCAATCAAACCTGAAGGAGTCATCCTGAAGTAGTCCGTGTGGAACTCCTCATCTCGTCCCTTTGCATTTTTGCAATCGGCAGTCATCTGCGTGCACATGAAAATCTTGAGCTTGCGGTTGAAGGTCTTGCCCGCCCCCCTCTCTGATAACGCAATGCTCATCAGATACGGCTACAAGCCTTCCCGCAAGCTGGTCCTTCACGGCCTCCTTGATGCATAGGGTATTCCTCCTGTCAGGATCGTAGACCACGGCCTCCATAAAGTCCCCTTGCCCGGCTTGAAGAACTTGGAGAACATCCACCGCCCGCCATAGAGGAGGCCCAGGTCTGCCCCAGTTGCGCTACTGCCCCTCAGGGCGATTTGATGCTTGAAACAGCTTGAGCAACACCAAATAGGGCGTGTGCACAAATGCAGGTTTGCCCACTCGGTAGTCAGCACTCAGGAACATATATATATATATATATATATATGTATGTACATATGTATACATGTCCCAAAAGCAACCTAAAAATCCCAGCATCCATGGCAGGCGGTTTTGGGACAACTTCTTGTTCTCAGAGCGCCACAGGGCACCTGTGCTGCGCTCTAGGATGGCCTGGCAACTGCAGGGACACCAAAAAAAAACGGGCTTTGAGGGGCAAAGCACTAGGTGCGCTTGGCTGGCGGAAAGCGACACTCTATCAGAATGCAAGACAGTGGCATGTCGATGTAACTACTCAAAGCGTTGATCGAACTTGTCAATCCCTCAGGAGTGGCAGCAAAAATCAGATGCGCTCGACGCAAACCGCCGGTGACGCCGCGGTGCTGAAGGGGCTCTCCTCGTCGCCTTGGAGGGTCTGAGGCTCGTTGGACTCATTTTACTCACCGAGCGGGCTGAGTGCAAAGCAAAGGGGCGAGGGCCGGGGAACCAAGCGACCTCTTTGTCTGCCGGCAAACTGAAAGGATTGCCACTTCCCACCATCATCCCTTTCAATTGCCGAGCTGCCACCACACTTTGAGCGTTGGGACAACGATCAAACGCCGAAGTTCTTTGCCAAGAAGACAGTTGCAGCCAAGCAGCCGCCTGCTTTGTATGAAAAGCCACAATAACTATGACAAACTCCGTGCATCTTGTGAAACCCCTCCCTGCTTCCAATGGCCCAATCAGGTTCTCTGGTACCCATTTGAAGACCTCTCGTCGAATGCGGACATATCGCTTGTATATGTGCATGTGCTTACTGAGGTATGCATCCATATATGAACAAGCACACACACACACACACACACACACACACACACACACACACACACACACAAGAAGCCATGTAGACATTGCGTACATACGTGTACACATCTGTCTTCAGGCATCAATTCATGGGGCTCCGGGCACGTGCGCAGATCCGATTGCGCCTTGGTCAGCGAAGCGGAGGAGTTGCCATGGCTTTCCCAGCATGTCAGGTGCCCCAAGCGTTCCGTTTCCCAAGTGTTCCACATCGATCAGGAATCTCCAAGCTTCTCGTGGGTCGCAAACCTCCTTTGAGTCGGCAGCATTCGCCCAAATCCCACCCAAAATGTCATGGCTGTCAAGCCACAAAATAAAGTTATCAGTTCCTGCTGGCTGGTGTCTGTTTCTTGGTGGAAATCCGGTTTCGTAGCCCAAGCCAACACCAAGGGGCACTCTCCTAGATTCCAACAGTTCAACAACAGGCCGTCTAAGTGAGAGGAGACATAGAAAAATATCCGTTTAAAAAAAAGAAGAAAAAAAAGTGACAATATGTGGGATTTCACTTGTGCCAAACGGCATGCAAACCCAAAAGGATGCCATTTTCACATGTGTCAGTTCACACGAGCAACTCCTTACAGCCATCCACCTAAAGAAAGGCTCCGAGGCTAAGTGCCACAGTTTCTTGCTGGCGTCTCATGTGCGATTTGCCACCCCGACCAATCTTTTCACCACTGAAAAGGCCCAACCCAAACAAAAAGCAAGTAAGACCCCTCCTTTTTGCCTCTCGAAGCAAAGATGGAACTCAGGTTTCCCTTGGGTCGAACCCCCCCTCCCCGCTTGTCTGCTTCCTGGGGCCCTCTCATCGTCTCTCAGCCAGCTGGACACCTGACGGATCATGGGATGCTCGAAGCCTTCTTCCAACCTTCAGCCTTTCCCTTCAAACCCAAGGAGTATCTCAACTCAAGCTGGGTAAGATACACCAGCTGGTGGGGAACACAGGTCCGGCTCACATAAGCCTCAGCTAAACTGGTGACCGGCCCAGCCACAATGGTTGCCTCTTTGCCAACGCAAGTGAAACGAAAGATGTGTAACCAGGTGATGCACCTAAAGAACCAGGTCGAGGGGCGCGAAAGGATGCGAAACAGCTTTCCACTACCTCGACCACCAAATGACTCACTCCGTCCAAAACGTTCTATACTCAGTACGACCTTCTGATTGCTCTCCCATGTCCCCGAATGCCTGTTGGACCCATCGGAAGGACCCGACCCGACTGCCCGGCCTGCAGTAGCGGAAATCCGCCGGAGAGCTTGCGTGGCCTGAGGGCGAGGCGGCGAGGCATGTCTGTCCATCAGGGCCATTCTTTGCTGGTGGAACTGAAACCTCGCAAACCATGAATATTGCCTGGCGCGCGGTGCGCGCAACGCCCCGCCTAGCATATATCCGTGTAAACGGATTTGGGCCAGGACGCATCCCAGTCTCCAACATTTTAAAAAGCGGAGGGCCGGCCGCAAAGAAAAACATGGCTCCTGGGGGGGCATTCCAAGCAGCCTGCAACACGAAGCAATAGTTCCCAAACAAATATTTCCCAAAACCGAGCCCAAGCATTGTTCTCCTCAAACATCCGAAACGTTTGGCCTAGCGTCTCTCCGCAGCAAGTTGTTGGAACCAGTGGCCTGTGGGTCAAACATTGGGTGACCCCAAAAAGGGTTGCCCTGGCAAATGGAAGGGACTAAAACCTGCGGTCCGGTGGCTTACTTTTGACCCACACCCAGTAGACCCCATCTGAGCTCCAGTGCGGCGGGGTCAGCGGTCCGCCGAAGGGACTCGGATCGCGCGAGAGACCGCATTCCACCGCGAGGGTCCGGGGCCCGAAGCGAGGCCCTAGCTCGTGGGTAGCCCATTGAATGG